TGGGGCCTTAGAATTTTAACTCGATATCACATAATGAGTAATACGGCATGGGCAAAAAAAGTATTAACAGAAGCATCATAAAATTCCTCATATAATTATGTTGTTCTTATAAAATTTTCCTATTGCAGATCTAGATACTTAAACTAAAATTATCTTTTGTATAATTTAAGTTTTGATAACCTTTGTTAATTTCATATAAATTATTGTTCGGAAAATTATTTTTAAATTATTTATTTTTTAATAACATAAACATTGATTATTGTATATTTATATAGATAAAGAAAGTTATCAGAACACAGTTTTTAATCGTATCATGCTTTGAATACTTCAAATTTAAAATTTCCTTTTCAATATCACATTTTGACATAAAATAAACAAATGTTTGTGTCCACATTGTTTTCGTACAAAGAAAACTGTTACTTATAAATGATTTAAATTGAGTTGAACGTGACATTATTATTGCATGTTTAGGTCCTTCTCAACATCATTGTAGAACGTCTCAGTCCCTTATTGCCGTTAAATCCAGTATGCACGTGTCCACATGCCCCTGATTCTGCACCAGCGAGGACACATGTCCCTCCTGGTGTCACATACAATCCATTCAGGTTAACGTAAGAACATCCGTTATACCACCAGCCTCCGTGTCGATCCACAGCGCAATTACGAGTTGATGCGGGATCAACGTCACGGTCAAAGGTCGAAAACAGTTGAAATTTGTTATGGAGTAAGCCATATGCCGAGTTACCTAAAAAGATAATAATATGTTTTCTTTTACAAAGCATTAGATCATATTCACGTTCACAAGTTAAAGAGAACAACAAAGAAAGACAAAAAAGAAACAAAACATCTCAAACTCGGGTAACAATATTGATAAGCGGACTTGATAATTCCAAAAGCAGTATTTCTTTCACTTGCTAGCAAATATCTTACGTGAAATTAATTCAAAGGTCTGTTGGAAGCCAAATATTTATTTTATTGAATAATGTAAAGATGTAAAGTACAAATACGAATAACAGAAGTAATCTATGCACTACAATATATGTGAGAATGGCGAGACTAATGTCATTTCTTTACGATAAGTTTTCAGCGTTACCAAACGTTAGCAGAATTAAAGGCGCTCTTATTCTCTTATCATTTTGTTTAATTTATTTGTTCCCTCTTAAAGTTTCAAAAAGTTACTCATTGGCCAAAAACATGCACGTGAACCATTTTACATCTGTGGCATTTTGGCAGGCAGTAAAAAAGTGATTAAGTATTTCGAACAGAAGTCGAAATACTACATTGTTTACACTATGCTTCTTTAATGGCAGATAATTTTCAAGTTCGGTCCTACTTTCATCAGGATATAATCATCTAAAATGCTCTAAAACCTTTATTTAAACCTTATTAAACGCATGTTAGAGTTTTTTTTGAATGAACAATTATTTTCTAAAGCATTTTGTGCATTTAAGGAAATCTTTTAATAAATAACAAATAATAATCTTGATAACACGATCCTAGGTAAATTACAACAAATAATTATTCAACAACAAGAAGCACACCATCGGCACCAAAAGTAACAACTAAAACACATCAAAGAAAATATTAGATGAAAATGAGTGTTAATGAATCTGTTATCGCGTAAATATTTAGATTTGTTTTATAACAATTTCATAATGTCATGGTAAGGGATTTTTTTTTCATTTATACCTGCGGATCCCTCACGTGACCCAATGTTGAGTTTATAACTTGTTCCATCTGTTAACCTGAACTCCTGAAAAGTCTCATACCCTGTACCATAGTTTTCATTTGTCATGTCTAGACGAACCTCAGAAGTACCCTGTTCAGCTAATTCTTGAATATATTTCAGGCCTGAGAAAACACAACCAATATAAAATATAACAATTTAAGGATAGTCCTATAGATATATAATATAAAACAAAACCTTATCATTGAAACTAAAAGTACTTGATGGACCATGAAGGCGGAAACGAGAAAGACAATAAGTAAATCATACATCAAATTTAGAATGGCTAATAATCCGTTTCATTCAATATGCCCATTTCCAATGTGATACAATCTATTTGTTCAACAGTATGCCTCTGCCATAAAAAAGAACTATAGAGACTTTTTACATATGAAGCCTTAACATATTTCTTTCTAATCCTTATACAATGACGTATGTATTCAATTTTTGACCTCAAAGTGAATGCTTAAATCTACAATGATATGTGGAAAAAGTATCATTCCTGACATACCTAGCCACAACTCCCCTTCAGCGTTCCCAAATCCATTATCATAGTCGGAAAAGTTTCGATAAAACTCAACCGACCCATCCATACGTCTTTGAAATATCTGAAAAATAAATCCTACAGCTCTTCAAATATTTTATCGGTGGTTGACCAAACCTTTCATCTTTCTCGGATAATTAAACAGTTACCGGTATTACAAATTTCTCCGCAACTGATCTTAGACTATTAATTCCACATGATTTTTTGAAGTGCTAGAAAAGCGATGCAAACAAAGAAACATGACACTTAGTTAACAAATATAATCACGAGGATTAGGCAAATGACCCAAATAAATAATCATGTCTCAGATAATATGGGGATTGATAGTAAAATTTGAAAAAGTGCCTTTTTTGAAACCATAGACAATACATTTATACATGCGAACGTGTTTGTACAAGCTAACATAATTGTCAGGGATATATTTCAATTAAATTCCCTATCACTTAGGTTATTTAAAGGAAGTCGGCTAGTGAAAATACGTTTGTTACAGTTCCTTGACACAATATTTTTGAAATACAGGTAATTATATTCTGAATTATTAAAAACAAAACTTTTATTCGTAAGATAGGTTCTTTTATATTTGAACTGGCTTAAATGTTAAAGTTTTGTTTCTTTCTTCTATGGAGAATATAAAATATGTTTAAAACTCATTTGTTTTTGTTCTATAAATCAATTAGTTAATTAATCAATCAAATATTCATCAATTTATTAACTAAAGGATGTGTAACAAATACAAACTATACAATTGGTGATTTGTTTGATACGCCATAAGTTTTTTTAAGCTTAATATTAATGTGCAAATACATTAAGGGTTATAAGATAACCTTGTAGTTGTTGAAAAGTTGAGAGATATGTAAATTTTAAGCTCAAATACTTTATGCAATTGTTTTACAAGTTACAAAGGTCCTAACTCCATAGGATTTAGAACCGTTTTTGCATAAGCACATTTGATAAAAATAACTTTTCTTTCAATAAAATGGTAAAAAATGGTGTAAAACACAACTTTGGTTTCAAATGTTCTTTTTATTAATAACACTTCTTATTAGTGAACTAATTTTAAAATATTTCAATTAAAAATAAGATTTCATTAAATGACCTTTTTCTCAAAATAATGTTAAAAAACGTTAGGTACAATCTTGCACTGACCCCTTCAATTATATAGATACTGTCACCACGTTCATTCACAAAAAAGAATAAAGAATTTTCAGCTTCATAGAACAAAAGTAATATGCACAGACTCGATCATTTTGTAACAAATAATTGATAACATATTATCAAAATGATTTATCTCAACTAATGTAAATAATTGACGTAAATAAATGACGAACGATATCATAGTTGCATTTGGCACTATAAAAAGCTAATTTTTATTTGGCATTTGAGCATTTGCAAACATAATTGATTATGCAAACTATTGATAAAGAGCAAAAGCACGCATTTTCATTTTGATTGGATTGTTAATGTAATTGGTTCAATATTTATTCAGAGAACTTTAACTTCTCAGTTTAAATCCAGCAATTTCAAGAGCTCAACAAAATAGATCTGGATTTTATCTGCGCAACAGTCCCATAGCAATTTGTATCCTCGTTTTAAACTTTGTCATAAAATTTTGTTTAATGTTAGACAAATGAGGATCCATACTGGAATAGTGATTATTTATGCAGTTGTCCTTCAAACAGTTTTTTCAAGCACGTGTAAAACATTTCAAATAACAAAGGACAATCTTAACATAGCCTTAGTTGGTCATTCTGTGCTGGAAATAATTGATACAGATCATCAAGAATGTGCTCGGACATGTATGTCATTGAAAATATGTAAATCTATTGACTATGACAGAACGAAGAAAACATGTAAATTGAACGATGCTGACCGGGAGTCTGTTGACTTGTCGGAGTTTGAAACCAAAAAGGGTTCAATTTTCTCTTATATCAGCGAATGGCCTAGCGTAAGTATCTTCATGTTTTTAATATAGACAAAGACGCACCATTGCATGAATAAATATTTTCTTAAATAATAGGCTCATTTTCATTTTAATTTCTCAAATTTTTTATATTTTTGGTATTCTCTTATTGGTCCCAACAAGTTAATCTATTTGCCGAGTACCTAAACTGTCTTTTTCCCCTGTTGCTTATTTTGGGCCATTCATACATTTACAGTGATTTTGGTATTTCGTATGGAAGTCAAATATATCTTTGTTTCCAATTTGCTACTTTCATGACATATTATTTTACATTAAGTGCTATTTTCTTCTGGCGACAGGAATATCTATCAAACGATTACAGCAGTGGTATTTTGACTTCCATACAATTTACACGTTTAATCCATGCCGAAATACAAACGATCAATGGTGGGTCTGGTTTATAACCAATGAGTAACCATTTGGAGAACTTAACAAAAATAAAACGTCTTTGAAAAAAAGCAATATGATGTCAATTGGAGACTAAATGGCCATTTAATAGCAATGCAATTCATGTTCGATATGTTCTGGTAGCAAGAAGAAACAATTAAATAAAGTGAAAATAATAATTAACACTGGTTAGTCAATAACATCAATTTTTAAATAATATAATACAATATAATGACGTTCATTGAAAACCTAGCTAAACACTGTATTCCAGTGCGTTTTTAAACAGAATTAGCTCTAGGGAATTACACCTAATGCAGTGTATAACAGCTTGACTACGTGATATTCCTATTTTGTTATAATTATTTTACAGTTTAAGGTGAAAAAACATACATATCACTTTAACACGCCGTTCCCCTGAGCCAATGTCCACAAAGTACAGGAAAACGATGTTTAGCCTGGTTTTCGAATTTGTTAACACTAGTACTATCGTTACATACTGTACACCTCAAATCATTGCTCTTTGGTATTTGAGTACACACAAGGCAAAACATCACGGGAATTGAACAAGATAAAGTACAAAATGCTTGCTTCATGATGTTTTTGGCCACACTTTTGTTTGTGTCCCTAGTTGTTGTTTTTCGTCTACGGTAAGTATCTTCCCTTTTGCCCCTAGTTTTTTATTTTAATCCCCCCCCCTCCCCCGAGTCTCCCATTCCCTTCCTCTGTGCCCAATTACTTAGTGGGCCTTTAAATCAATCATTTAATTGTTTTCTTTGATTTTGATTTCCTTTTCGGTTACTATTATTTCTTCTTATATATCATTTTATTGGTCTGCCTTGCGCCCTGTCCTGATTTGTTTGGGGTCCTCCTGGGCTCTTTGCCACTGGTTCTTGTTGCTGGGTCGTTTTGTGTTGCGTTCATTGAACTCCGCCTTTCCTTGTTGATCTTGTTTATCATATTTTGTATTTCAAGAACAACAATTGTTATTAATTATTTCTTTATTTAAATAATTTATTATTTTCGTATTCAATAGCTAAACCACTTGAACAATAGCAATACTAGTTAATAAAAAACATAATGTTCAGTGTTTTGTTAATTGGGTCTTCATTTTTTCTTCAGGCAATGGTTAGTAGTTGTAGCACAAGGCCATGTCAAGCCAACCAAAGGTGTTATCATAAAGGAGATTCCCATGAGTGTAGAGATAGAAGTATGTTTGATCTGTCAAATAATATAATTTATTATATACTTATAAATAAAATATTGAGAAATATTGATTAAATAAAATGTGTATGTTCATTTTCCGTATTTTCACTGTAAACATTTATCTTTCACTGCAGTGAAACAAATTTCTGTATTTTCACTCGTGTCTTGCCGGATCACTTACTTACAAATCCTCCAGTTCATAAAATTTCAGGGAATGTTTTTCAAATTGTAATGCCAAAATTGAAAAAGAATGTATATAATAAACAAAAAATTCAAGTTCTTTCTATAAATACAGGATTAATTTTCATCTTGTGGTATGAAAATTATCATATTTCACTCGTGGCTACCGACACTCATGATTTATTTATTTTCATACCACTCTATGGAAATAAATCCAGAATTTATGGAGAAAAAAACTTGAATATCCTCTATACACGTTACTTCTTCGAATGTATTGCATTGTTACGTTATGAATTTAATAGATTGTTTTATTATGCCCCCTTCAAAGAAGTGGGGGTATATTGCTTTGCATTTGTCGGTCGGTCGGTCCGTCGTTCCGTCGGTCCGTAGACCAAATGGTTTCCGAGTGATAACTAAAGAACAGTTAGGCCTATGAACTTCAAACTAAGTATGATGTTTTTTCATGACAGTAGATGACCCCTATTGGTTATGGGGTCAAAGGGTCAAAGGTCAAGGTAACATTGACCTTGTAGGTAAAAACAGTTTCCGAGTGATAACTCAAGAACACTTAGGCATAGGAACTTCAAATTTGGTATGTTGATTGTTCATGACCAGCAAATGACTCGTATTGATTTTGGTCAACAGGTCAAAGGTCAGGGTCACATTGACCTTGTAGGTTAAAACGGTTCCGATCAATAATTGAAAAAACGCTTAGGCCCAGAAACTTCAAACTTAGTTTGATGATTGTTCATGACCAGGAAAAGACCCAAATTGATTTTGGGGTCAAGGGGTCAAAGGTCAAGGTCACATTTACCTTGTAGGTAAAATGGTTTCCAATCAATAACTTAAGACGCTTGGGCCTAGGAACTTGAAACTTGGTTTGGTGATTGTTCATGAACAGTAGATGACCACTATTGATTTTGGCGTCAAGGGGTCAAAGGTCAAGGTCACATTTACCTTGTAAGTAAAAACGGTTTCCGATCAATAACTAAAAAACGCTTAATCCTAGGAACTTCAAACTCGGAATTCTGATTGTTCATTACCAGCAGATGACACTATTGATGTCTGGGTCAAGGGGTCAAAGGTCAAGGTCACATTGACGTTGTAGGTAAAAACGGTTTCCGATCAATAACTAAAGTATGCTTATTCCTAGGAACTTCAAATTTGGTTTGATGATTGTTCATGACCAGCGAATGACCCCTATTGATTTTGGGGTCAAGGAGTCAAAAGTCAAGGTCACATTGACCTTGTAGGTACAAACGGTTTCCGATCAATAACTTGACAACCAATTGGCTGTAAATCCTCAAATTTTGAAGGTGTATTGGGATTGACCAGTAGATGACCCCTAATGATTTTGGGGTCAGGGGAACAAAGGTCAAGGTTGCATTGACCTTGTATTTCAAAACGGTTTTCTATCAATAACTGGACAACCCATGGACCCTTGACCTTCATGCTTTACAAATGCATTGCTTTTGGTCAGAAGCTGACCTCAATGGATTTTTGGCGTTAAGGCGTCAGAGTTCAAGATCACATTGACCTTATAGATAACAACGCTTTCTAAACAATATCCCAAGTCATGGGCTATTTTCCTTCAAACTTCACAGGTGCATTGGTCTTGGCCAGTAGATAACCCCTATTGATTTAAGGGTCAAAGGTCAATGTCATATTGACCTTGTATGAAACGACTGTTTCTGACTAATAACCCAACAACTCAAGTTGTCTTGGTTGACTTTTTTTTTTTATTAAACTAAAAATCCTTTTGGTATACACATTTCAAGGTCTTATGTAATATAACAACTTGGCTGTCATTAATGAGCCTGCATGATTCATAAAATCTATGCATATACATGTATTATTTGGTAAGATTTGAAATCACTTTTTCGTAAAATTGCTGCACACAACCTTTGAGGTCACACTTACCTAGTGACTAGTAATAACCAGTAATTAACCCTCATTGATTTTTGGTCACTATGTCAAACGTCAGTTATTATAACCTAATCACATGACTAATTGGCTGCCGATAGGGGCATACATGTTTTACAAACATATCTTGTTAATATTCAAACTGTTCCTGTATCAAGTACTTGTATAAATGGATTGAAAAACGCATATAAAGGAATAAACATTTCCATCGTAAGAAAGGAAACAAGAGTTTATTTTATAAAGTTTAGTAATGGCTTAAAGATATGATATGCTCAAATTTGATATTAGAGAAAATACTGTGAATTACTTCACAATATCTTTGTAAATATACAATAAATGTGTTTTGACTTAACCCAAAGTAGATATGTTATGTTTAAAAGTCAACACACTATATTTTGTCAAAATATGAATAAAATGTGTCATTAACAAAACTGGTAGTTTTTTGAAGAAAAACAAATTTACTTGATTTTTAATAGGAAATGCTGCATGTTATACATAGTTTATTCATTCTTATATTCAAATTAGACATGTTCATTAAGAATAACATATGTATAAAGATTTCAATAAATTTATGTAATAAATTATTTTATTCAAGGTTGAACATAGTATATCTTTAAGATGAAAGATGTTTTTTACCTGAAGAAGTTAGCGCCGATCGTGAAATCAATAATTACACTTTAAAGTGAATCAGTGTTTTGTCTGGAAGTCAAGACCTTTTTGTTAAGATTTTGCTACTTTTATGACAAATAGTTTCACATTAATTGCAACTTTCTTCGGGTAGAAGGCATCTAGCATTCTCTGAAACCATTATTTAGATATTATAACATCCATGTTTGCGCTTTCTAAAGAAGTAAAAATTTATTTGTTTCTGAGATAATTGTGCATTAAATGGAACAAATCAATTTCATTAAAATCAGATCATCGTTTCGCTCCGTTACTCTTCGCTACGTAGGGTAGTGAAGCGATTAGTAAGAATATGATTTTAATGAGATTGGGAACAAACAAATACGGGTGTCATAGGAAACCTTATTTAACTAATACAAGTGTGAAGTTACTTCTTATATATATTTATTATAGCTTGTGATATTGGTCAGGAAATACACAAGGGAAATTGCTGGTAAACGAACATAGCCTCGAGGATAAGGCTTCAGTAAAATGTGACGATGGATACATTCCTAGTCAGCCTGAGGTGAAATGTCAAGCGTCTGGAAAATGGGAAGCCGCAACTTGTAACAGATGTAATGTATTACTACAAGGCAATCTTCTTGTAAAAATGCATCATATTTAAATCTGTTTTACAGTTTAACATGCAACAAAGCCTATTGTTTGTGTTTATGGTATAAAACTGATCCTTTTATTGACTACATACATTGACACAGTATCATTCACTGGTAATCTATTTATTAAAATAGCTCCACTGAGGTCAAAAGGCGTAAAAACAAAACTTTTTAAATTCTTATTTTTAGTCATTTTTCACAATAAAAAGTGGCTTTTTCTGGGAAAACGGGTGCAGGGAATGAACTGGAAATTTGCACACAAGTAATTAGCGCAAACCCTTATAGAATATGTATGATAGTACACAAGCCTTGGAAATATATTTCCAGTCTCATCGTATGTAATAACCTCAGTGGAGTCCCTTTAAACATGTTAAATTTGTGCTGAGATATATACAGAAGCACAGAGAGGACATGCCTATTTATTTTTCTTTTCATATCTTGTGTCCACGAGATATAACCCAAGTACAAAATATTTTCTCGTGGCCACGATATGTAACTCAGGAGAAAAAAAACCCCAACAAACATCAAAATGCTATCTCATGGCAACAAGATATAACTCAGAAAAAAAAAACACGAAAAAAAAACAAAATGCTACCACGTTCGTTCAACATACAAAAAAAAAAAGAAACTAAGAGGAATAAACAAACAGCAACAACATAAAAAACAACACAAAACAAATTGTGCTATCCCATGGCCCAATCAGATGAACACATCTGGTAACGAGTTAGCTGACCAATTAAACCGAAGATGCGTTCGAAGAAAGACTAAAAAGCTGATTGGCCGACTAACTCGTGGGAACGAGCTCAGATAGCATTTTTTTCCGAGTTATATTTCGTGGGAACGAGATAGCGATTTTTGGTTTTGCCTCTAATAATGAAAAGAATGGCACCTGAAATTTTCCTCCACCGGTCAAGTTGGAACATCGCCATATCACCTATACTGAGTCGGTGAGACCAGGGTCTTTAAAAAAAAACCCATCAAAAACAATCAAACAAACAGATAACCTGATATAGTTTTATACGCTTAAACAAGTTCATAAATATTCTATATTGACAAACATACATGTACAACATCAAAATGAAAAACGTCAGAATACAAAATTTATAAATCTGTAAAAGGGAATTCATATGAACGCCATAGATTTGTCATTAATTCAATGCAAATTGCTTCATCGATTATTGTAAACTCGAATTTTATTTATTTGTAAAAGGGAATATGAACTCCATAGATTTGCCATTAATCAAATGCTTATTACTTCAGGAATTATTGTAAACTCGATGCATTCATTTGAAAGCTAGTTTATGTTTTATTTATTCTTATCTCATTTTTGCTCAGTGAGCGACTGTAAAGAAATTCTTGAAAAATTCCCGGAAGCAAAAAGTGGTTTGTATGAGATAGAATTATGGACGTCTAGGAAGATATTGATAGTGAATTGTGACATGGAGACTGACGGCGGCGGCTGGACGGTATGTAAAGTGTTAAATTAATTTGAAATAAATTGAAAATCGCATTTTTATGCTTTTTCTTAGCTCGATTTGTGTGAAAAAATGTTTAAACGCTTTTCATTTTGACTCATTTATTTTAACAATTTTTATGATTATTCTTGCAGAACGAAGTGTGCGAAAGATCTGAAATTTTGCACAAAGATTAGTGGTCTAAACGTACACCAAATGGAACATTTATTTGGAAGAAATATTTTCAGTCCCATCATGTGGAGTCCGTTTAAATATTGTTCAGCAAATATTTTTTTTTTTTTATTTTTTTTCTGTTTTCTGCATACTTGAAAGCTCAGGTCTCAGGTTGAAATCTTGTAAATAATTGAGTACCTAGTTAATAGATATATAAATCAATCAATGTATTTAATATATGCATAGTGATTGACTTCAACTTTTTTTCCACAGAAAGTTAACATAAAACACACAAGACATACATTGCGAATAAAGCAACACTAAAAAGAATCTTAAGGTTTAAAGGTTTAAGTCTATATATATGCTAGTAAAGACTAGACTAGGTACATCACATGCCAATCAATTTAACAGTTTACTTGTTAAAGTTACATTAAATAAATATGTAAAAATATTTTGCCGTCGGCCTAATAACCAAGCATTCTACTGTTTTATTAACCTTATTAACAGTATTATTTTAAATCTCATTAAAAATTTTTCAAAAAAATTTAAAAATTTAAAAACGGAAAAAAACCCCACGGTAACACAAAAAGTTTGTTTTACAAAATTTTAAACATGCAAAAGAAGACTAAAATTTAAAATTTTCTTTGTATGTGCTACCACCAGTGTTAAAAGTTGCTATAAAAGAAAACCGCAAATAAGTTTTTCCCTTTGTGATACAACGGTGCTTTTTGGGAAATGCGTTCAGAAAAAAAGAAAAAAAAACTGGGTAAAAATAAAAAAAATTTTGGGAAAAATAAAAAAACCGTTAAAAGCGAAAAAAACCTTAAAATTTGGAAATGCTATTATAACCATTTTGGGATTTAATATTGATTAGGATGCCCCAAAGGCGGATTTTCTCATGCAAATTCCAAATTTCGCCAAAATAAAAAAAAAAATTTCGCAGAAGTTTAAGCTTAAAAGCTCTTTTTTTGGTTGCCTTTGACACCATAAAAGATTCTGGAAGTCGGAAATTGAACCAAATTTACTAATGAAATGTCGCTATTTCTGTTTTTAAGAAATTCATTTAATGTAGCTTTAAATCTGAACAATCCATATCAAGGTTGATACCAAAAGGTTTAATAGTTCTTTGAAAAACACCATCTACGTCTAATAGGGTATTCTAAGATGAAACTGAAAATTGTTACGTGACTTTGTACAACGCTTGTTTGAATTTACTGAATATTTATATATTTTTCTAAATTTTACTGCGCTCTTTGTAGATGTTTCAAAGGCGCTTCGACGGGTCCGTCGATTTTTATCGAAATTTCTCAGAGTATGAAAATGGGTTCGGAAACGCAGAAGGAGAACTGTGGCTAGGTAGATCCATAATTTATGGTTCACTTGAGTATTTATATTTAATATTAGTGAGCATAAATTGTTAAAGTAAACGATATATGTTATTAAATTGTATATGTGTTCATTAATTATACCCGGACATTTGTACTTTTAAACGTAAGGTGACAAGCTATGCAAAAAAAAAAAAAACAAAAAGAAATATATTGTTTTCCAATAGCTTGTCATGTTTATGGGCAAGACTTTCTTAATGCATAGGGGATTACATATTATCCTGCACGCTGATAATCTTATAACGGCTTAGTAGCCATGATCAGAATGCTGAAGAATTGCCCGATGACTTTATACATTTACACGTGCAATACAATGATTTTTTGAATCAATTTCGTATGCCACAATATCATTCACTAACATTTTTGTATTGTTACGTTGTTGTTCAACTACCATTAAAACGTAAAGAGGCTGGAAGTTAAGTTGTCATATTAACATTGACAAAAACATCTTGCTTGTCAAGATATCCTTGTTTTCAAACGTTTCAGTTTTATTTTCGTTCAATTTTACAATTTGGTTATTTTTTACATTTTAGGTACATGTTATTACTATTGCAGCGATACCTGTTCTTGGTTTCTATGTCTTTATTATGATTTGTTCATATAAGATATTGAAAAAAATAGAAATAAATGTATAAAGAAAACAATGATTTTATGACAAAGCAAATGCAATGACTTGGATTTTAATACAGATTGTAAGCATGTTAATAATTTCATTTTATCTTTGCATTTATTGTTTACAACTGATAGCAGGCTATCATACATATATCATTTGGTAACATTTGGTATCGTTGATAAAAAGTCAATTTATTTATATAATAAGACTATCGTGTATCAAATGAATCTGTTTGAATTAATAATGTATAGGCTGTAACATTTAGCATAAGAGACATTTTTTTTGTATTTTTATGTGTGTCACAATATGACTGTTTTGTTTCATTTTTTTTTTAGATTTTTGTTTCGTTTTATTTTTGAATTCTAACTTTTAGTTTTGACGATTTGGTACTGTCGATATTTTCATGATAGTTCTGTAATTATGTACCACTGGTTTACTTATCATAGGCCTGAAGTACATATAAGAATTAGCTGACCAAAGTCGTTCAGAAGTCCGTCTTGACATGACAAATCACAAGAACGACACAGGGTATGAGACCTTTCGGGAGTTCAAGTTGACAGATGGAATAAAGTATAAACTCAACATTGGGTTACGCGAAGCATCAGGTACAAAACGAAATTATACGAGTGATGCTATTTGCTTTATGAAAGATAACATTTACCAAACAAATATATTTTTGACTTATACAGATTTCATATTAGTTTTAATTGATATATAAATCTAAGTTCCTGAATTAAGTTTTGCCTACAATAGCAACACACAGTTCTTAAATAAATTAATTATCTCCTTACATGTTTTGTAATATAACATATACATTTTATCAATGCACATTGACCTTTACTTTATTAACATTACTAAAACAAACAACGATATGGGCAATAAGATTAACTTTCAGATGGAACATTCAGTTTTAATGTTTTGGTGACATTGGGGAATCTTACTTTGTCCAACTGTATGACTGACAAAAATCGTCAATATACTAAAACAGGCTACATATGGCATCATGCAGTTAAAATTGTATTTACCTTTTTCAGACAACATAGCAAAAGGTTTATGGTACAGTAATTTAGCTGCGTTTTCAACTTTTGACCGTGACTTAGATTTCGGAGGATCACGTAATTGTGCTGTTGATCGACATGGAGCCTGGTGGTATAAAACATGCACATACGTTAATTTCAATGGATTATATGTCCAACCAGGTGAAACATGTAAACTTGCTGGGGCAGAAACCGGTGTTTGTGCACAATGGCATGGAGGGTTTAATAGTGGAGGAAAATTAAGGAGATCTTCAATGATGTTGAGAAGGACATAAAATGTGATCGAGATCGAGATCAACAACTAAACTCAGACATTTGAGAGGTCAAATTCGTGAAATTTTGATTGATTTAAAATTGATTCTGAGAATCTTTCTTTTGAAATTTACAAATAATTGACAATAATATACACCTGGAAATAAGTTAAGCACACCCCCTGAAATATAAAATTGGTTATGATTGAAAGCGCTGTCATTACATGACGACTTAATTGAGCTAAGAAATAGTAATGTGGCGGTTACATACGTTATTATAAATCTGGCTAAATAATGTGTTTTTTATATTACGTAATCGTCAACATTTACCACAAATATCCAACTGTTAATGTTTTGTAAACGCTCTAACACCATGCTTATAAACACTTACATTTTTTTTTTTGTAAAAACAACACATTTGCTTCTGCTTCAATAATTTGGTTCAGAATAAACTAAACTCATAAAATGTACTGGTTTATAAATACTTAATTGGTATTTCTACTGATCAAATTACTATTTCTTAGCTCAATTTATTGCCAGGTGTGTATAGTATAAGATATACCGCTCAATTGGACATTTGCTTACTTATGCCATAACATGCTTTTTAGCAAATATCAACCAAATTTTGAAAAACATAAAATACAGAAAAATTGATAATTATTGTAGGGACAGTTTTCATAGTGACACATTATTCCGTCCTGATATTGCTATACCTATTAACTTATATTAAGGATTTAGGTACCTCAAGAAGAATTTCATTTCACATGTTTACAACTTGACTGACAATATGTATATAACATACACACATTGTACATTAGAATTGAAAGATATTGGTAGAAACAAGTTTATATACAATTTGGCATTTTACTCTTTCTTAATTGAATTACAATAATAAAGTTTTATTTGTTGACACGGAATGGACAAATAACTGATTCTATTATCTCATAAACGACAGAGATATAGCAAGTATGTTGAATTTTACACCGGCTGCTGGTACAGGACGGACTATCGCGCTCGAGGGTAACTGTTTACGGCAGTAACGAGGTTCCGATGAACAGTTACCCCTAGGCTAGATCTTCTAGGCTGTGACTACAGCCGGTGATTCTTTTTCTTGCATATGACACATATTGATCATGATAAGGAAAGAAATTACGGAAAGAAATATTTTCATTTATATCTTTTTCTAAAAGTAGCGTATGAATTCACAACTTCATTCATTACGGCAAAATGATGTCCCTCTAATAACCCAATCTATTCAAAAAGGCGCACGGGAGTGACGTCATTTAAGGCACGCGACTTGTCTTACATGGTGGATGTTAGACAGGTTTTCCTAGCACCGGTGTAGCATGAGATTCGTCAGACCTGTTAAAAATGTAAGATCTTACGAATTCCACGGGAGGGTTGTTAAAAATGACACACGTGAGAAACATAAGACTATTTTAATGGAAAACATTTCCTGTTGCACTTAAATAAAATACTGTCAATATTTCATGGCATCAATAAAATAAAGGTTTGAACGAAGGTGTTTGTCTGTATTTACGAGTTAAGAATAACATTTTAAATCAATGTTCGGCTTTTAAATAGTTGTCATATCGCCGCTTGGATGGTCACGATTTTTTACAAATTAAAATGGATTTATATACATGTATTTCGCTTATTTTGAAATAAATAGTAGGTCACTCCTTAGATTTTTAAAATAAAAAAATAAAACAAAATACAGTTTCTACTGTAGTGAATGTTGTTGTCCATCTATGAGTGAATTATACGAATCCTGAGTAGCGAAATGAAATCATCTTGTTCGGCCCTAAATGAACTCGACCGAGCCACAATCTTACTGTATTGGTTCAAATCATCCCAATGATCTAAAAATTATCAACAAGAGTTATATAACAAATGATAACACAAGTGTGTATAAATAAAACTTTATTAAAAGGTAATACTTGAACTTACAGCCTCTTTATAAAAATCGCTGTTGCTTTAACCTAAAATATCTTTTTACTCGCATTCTGCTGTCCATACACCTACATGCTAGAAGATCTTCCGTTTCAGCCAAAGACTCTTTAAATGTGGTGTCAAGTCAATAACATGGTCGGTCCCCAACGGCTTCTTTAAGCATCACTGGTGAAGAATACTATATTTCGAGAATGAGTGGTACCAAATTTAAGCACCAAACTAATGGTACTTTCTTACATTGAATGCTTCACCAATAAATGAAAAGTTCCTGGCAAGATTTAAACGCAACAATGAATATGTCAAGTCCCAAAAAGTAGCTGCTTTAAAAACCTTTTATAAACTCCTAATAAAGTAAAAACCCAACCCAAAAAAAGTTTCAATCATGAAAAATCTATAGGTTTTAATTCAATTTTTGCAAAATACATTTTTTACCGTCCAAAAATACCAAATTTAAATTTTTTTTAAAAAAAAAATCCGGCTTCTTTTTATAAAAATCAAAAAAACAAAACCAAACCCCAAACCCCTTGTAAAAATAATTAAAAATTTTGATCCAAAAAATTAATTTTTTTAATTTAAAAAGTTTTGTAATTTTTTAAATGTTTTCTATCTTTATTGAGGGGAGTTTAATAGTGGAAAATTTTAGTTTAAAACCCGAAAACTAAAAAGGGGGTCATATAAATAAATTTTATAATATTAAATTTCTTGTTTGTTTAACAAACGTAGCTAGAATCGTATGTCAATAGATTGGTGTTTTGGTAGTCTAGCAGACTAAATAAACATGAAAAAGTAGAAATATTTTATAGCTTTCCTTAAACAGCGTTGAAAATACATGCACTGTTTTAGAAATTATTTATATTATGGACCACGTAGTTTACTTCTTTATCTGAAATATTCGTGGTTTGTATAATTGATTTTTTATATTTTTTTCATATTTATGCACAATTTTTCTTATGCTTTCTGTCAGATATTCAAATAATAAATGGTAAATAAATCTGCTAATACGATACGTAATGTTAAGTTAAAAAAACTGCTTTGTTCAGCGCCCTCTTATGACCAAGAAACAAAAAAAAGCCAACCATTTCTTTGATTGACACAAGTTCGATACCCCGCTAACTTACAGAGGAATTTGTATGTTACGGTCAGGGTCAACCGTCTTATACCTGACATCCATGGTAATAATCAATTATCATACTTATAGGAAAAACATGATAGAAATGATTTCAATACACAATGACAATGACCATAATAATATTCATATTATCAACATTATCTAATAAGATCAGACATGAAGGTCCAACACAGTTCCTTAGGCAATGAGCCCATCAAGATACCAAACAAGACAGGACACATGGGCAATCCACACCCCGCCATCCCCCCAAAGCAAACAAAAAACAACAAAAACAAAAGAAACAAGAAAAAAAAAACAACAACAAAGAACTGGACGAGGTGTCATCATTAAATAGAGAAAATGAGAATCCCTAAAGAAATCACAAAACGCAAAATTGAATATGTTCTAAAACTAAAATGTCTATAAAAGATAAGGACAAAGACTAAGTCGAATTTGTTAACGATGAGACATTTATTGCATCATAATCACAACATAGAGTAGAATACACTTGGTTAATACAAATTATTATATAAGCACAATCTTTTTATCATTAACTGTCAAACCTTTATGCTCTATACATATATTAATACGCTTGCTAATGTTTGGGTTATAGTCCAATTGTCTTGAAAATCATTTTTTTTACGATAATGTATAAGGTATCGAGGGATTATTTTAGATATGCACGAAAGATATAGTTAGTCATTCATTTCTAATTTGATTCTAGTATAATCCACCAATCAATAATTGTATTGCTAGAAAATATGTTAAATGATCAAAAAGAAAAGAAAATATTTGCCTAAATTATTCAGCGATTATTCGGAATTCTTCAATGAAAAACATTAGGCAAAACATGACCTAATTGAATTTTGGAAAGAATCTAACTGCTGAACTGCGACTTTAACATTGAATGTGGTAACTGAGTGGTATTTGAATTAATATAAATAAAAATGTTAAACATGTAACAATTGAAGCAATTTTGTTATTTCCGCCACTGTTTACTCAAGACATTTTTGTTTTATAGAGACACAACAAATGCAAGCATCATTGTTAAAGAATAGATGAAAAATAGCGTGTAAAATTACGTGTGCAACTTATTGAGTATTTTGCTATTATCCTTTTTACAAATATTTACTTTTGTAATAGATTTTAAAGACAGAACAACAACTGCGCTGTATATAACACAAACACAAGTAAAAAACTTACAAAAAAACCAAACATTAAATATCATCATAAGTTTATATTGCGTAAAAACATTAAATAAATTAATTCAGCTCTTTACGTACTAAATACCAAACTCATGCATCTCTATCGAGAAATGGGTAATTGTCAAGGAAACACTGAGACAACCAATACAGACACTAAAACTCGGCAGTAAGAGAACGGATCACATTCAAACAGTGATTGAAGAAAAGAGATCGACAAAACATAGACTTCTTCAGTCTAGGACTACAGAACATAAAAGAGTGACACAATGAATAGCATAAAGAGGTTACAAGAAAAGAAGTACTATAATGTACACGTTCAATGGCTATTATCAACTTGCCGCTGAGGTATGGTAAGCAACAGAAAAAAGGTGATGAGAAGAACATATGCAATTTAATATAGGTAGAACACTATCTTGAAAAAGATTTTCTGTATACGAACCGATCAAGTCAAAAGACGGTAAAGTTAAATCCAAATCAGATGGTCATAAGGAAAGATTTAGCTAGCACTTTAGCGAGGAATTCCATATCAAGACAGATAAAGGTAATTCGAAGACCATATACAATGTAATATAGGTTATACACCATCTTGAAATAGAGGCTCTTTATATAAACCGATCAAGTTTAAAGACGTTAAAGTAAAATGCAAAACCAGATGGTCAAATGAAAATCTTTAGCGAGCACTTTAACGAGTAGTTGCACATCAAGACAGAACCAACCACAAAGAAAAAAGATTGTGGATAAAGTCAAGATGCTCAAAACTTGTAAGGCTCCAGGCCTCGATATTAACTCAGCAGAACCTCAGCAGTGGATCTTCTGAAAAGGCTACTGCAGGGAATTTTTAGAGACAGAAGAGAGATGTAATCGTTTTGTATTTTTACCACACCCGGTCTTCATGAAATGAGGTTAAGTTGAATTTGTTTTTCACTTTGATCAGTCTTAAAAATTAAACGTTTTTTTTAAGCAAGCTTCAGCTCTTTTTTGTTGGAAAAACAAATGCGTGCTGTTTCAAATTTAGTATTCCAGTAATTTTTATCTTCACAATTTGCTTGATATAAATGAAAGGCATTTTTCAAAATAGCATCCAAAGAGCTATTTGTAAACTGCCATTGACGGTTGTAGAAGAAAGGTAAATGATTCATCGGCTTTACTTATTTTCATTTAGAATGTGGACAGGTAGAGTAGAAATATCAAGGGGTTTCCTTATTGCTTATGTATTTTACTGACGGCA